CATAGCGAGGGTCTAGCTGGACCACAGTAAGGCATGGTGGGCGTTCAAAAGATCCCGAAGTAAAAGAGAGGGTCTGCTAGACCAAAGGACAGGATAGGTTGGGGGTCGAGGTTGACCGCAGACAAGAACAGGTTGTGGTCCGCAGACCAGATAGGGGTGGTCATGGCGGACCGCAGAACAGGACAGTCAGGGTCAAAGGGAGACCGCAGAATAGACATAGTTGCGGAGGGCCCATCACAGAACAACCTGACCGGGTTCACTCAGACCGGGAAACACAGGTCACATGGGTGTCCCTGACTGGTCAGGTTAGCCTTGCTGAACGGACCACCGTTGCTTGACGGGTCAGCTCAGACCCAGCCCTTGCTATTAACTAGAGTGACCGGTCGCGGGACCGCGAAATGGAAAAGTAGTCAGCTTGACTGCCCCCGTGAGACCGCGAAGCAGAAAGGTAGTCAGCTTGACTGGTCCTGTGAGACCGCGAGACCGCTTGACTGGTCCATCCGGACATCTTTTGGGAAATGGATGTGGTCCCGTTAGACCAGGAAACAGACACGTTAAGCTAGGTAACGTCAAACCTAGGAAACACAGACACGTTAAGCCGGGTCACGTTCACCTAGAAGATTAGATTTAAGGAAGACTGTAAGGAACAATGGTGGTCCCCTGCAAGGGGACACTGAAGTGCCCTTCCAACATTGCCAGAAGGGAAAACACCACCACCATCGTGCTTACCAGCTCTTTATGGCTTCACAGATCTTGGCCGAAATGCCGATATACAAGCTATGTGAATGATGACATCAATAAATGCATGACTTACAGACCTTTTAAGGCTTTCCTGAATCAAACTCATCATCCTTGAAGTTGGTGAATGTGGGGTTGCAGCAGCCCAACTTCCCATTGGTGGCAGCGATGAATAGGAGATACCTTGGTTTGTAGTTGCAGTATCTGCCAGTAGCTGATCGACTTAGTTGAACCACATACAAGGAGCAGGGCCCAGCTCCCTAGAATCAAGTTGTTTACAGAGTTCATCCTTTGGAGAGTTCAATGAGATCCATGGAGGATGAAGTAGTCTGATAAAAAACCTCCCACAGACTCTCACAGATCACTTTCCAGTCCGTGTGTTTGCAGGATCACACCAGAGCATATCAAGGTCAGGTACTGAAGACAGAGAGACAATCTAGTGGTGTTTATGTCAGATTAATATTATTTTTTATCATCTCACTATATACATTATCAATGGATTATAGATTAAATGTGACTGTTATATCTTTCGGGGGGCATGTGGAAGTACACAAGTTTAAATATCTTTATTTTGTGATCATGTTGACGGTGTATATTTTAATAATTAGCAGTAATGTTACTATTGTGTGCATCATAATGATTCACAAAAACCTGCATGAACCAATGTACATTTTTATTGGAGCTGTATTAATCAACTCTGTTCTTTTCAGCACTGCTATCTACCCAAAGCTTTTGATTGACTTCTTGTCAGAAAAACAGATCGTATCTTATCCAGCATGTCTTCTCCAGTGGTTTTCATATTACTGGTTAATTGCTTCAGATTTCTTGCTCTTGTCCATCATGGCCTACGACAGATATGTGTCTATTTGTAACCCTCTGAAATATCCAACCACCATGCAAAATACAATTGTTAATACTTTTCTTATTTCCGCTTGGATTGTGCCTGCTTGTTTGTTATTAGTAGTATTATTACTAAGTGCTAAAAAAGAAATCTGCAAGATTCATTTGAAAGGAATACTTTGCAACAGCACAGTTCTAACACTTCACTGTGTGAGATCAAGAATACTGAATATATATGGGTTGTTTCTTTTTGTTATTTTTGTAATACTTCCTGTACTCTTCATAATTTTTACATACTGCAGGATACTTGTAGTATCGTATCGATGTAGAGGAGTCAGGAGAAGAGCTGCGCAGACCTGTTTACCCCATCTGCTGGTTCTAATCAACTTTTCCTGTTTAACTGCATATGATGTACTTCTTTCTCGACTGGAACTTAATTCTTCAAAAGTTGTAAGTTTAATAATGGCTTTACAAGTTGTAATATATCACCCTCTTTTTAATCCAATCATTTATGGACTGAAAATGAGGAGAATTTTTGATCACCTTAAGAAGCTTTTCTGCAGAATGGTGAGGTGTCTTTAGCTGTTGAGTTGAACCGATAACCACAGTGTAAGCATCCTTTTTCAGTTTGATTTAGTTATAGGTTTTAATGTAACTGTTGTCTTATAGTAACTCTGGAATAATTGGGAGATCCAATCAGATAAGCATTTATCAATCATTGGAGGAAAACCCAGCAAAATACAGAAAAAACAAACAGATTAGAGAAATAAAAAGAGTATCAAAATATAGCAGGTGTTGCAGTGAGTTTTGATCAGACAGATGCTGTTATGTTATGGAGGAGGGTGTGATTTCGCAATGAAATGAAGACTTGTCAATGTTTTAAAACAAAAAAACATCAAAGCCAAAGAACGAGCATTTTTGCGTTTGTCCGTAAGTCATTTGCACCGAGAGACAAAGTGTTATTTCATTTTTGTGAAAATGAAAAACTTTATTTCCGTCAAATTATTGTTCTCTCTTTTTTTCTTCACTTAGCGTAATATAGGCTGTCTCTCTGTCAGCGCATTTCAGGATGAGGTATCTGTGAATGAATAAGACATTTCCATCAGAGGCTGGAAAGTGTCACGCTTTTGGGTTTATTTCCCAGTTGTGTCCCTGGGTTAGCTTCACTTCGTGCCCTTGTCTGATGATTTTTCTGCCGTGTCCCCTGATTGTCTCTACTTGTCGTCCAATCCCCAGC